ATTAATATTTTATATTTATAAAATATTATATTTATAAAATGCTAATAACGAGTAAAATCGTCATTAAGTGTGACCCTATTGGAGATACACACGACCCATTTATCTCTTTATCCCGACCTTTAATCACCAAACTTTAAATAGCATCAATCTCCATAATAAATAAACCTCTCTGAAAAATTTCAGAGATTTTACACAAAAAGCATAGGAGTTATTAAGCCTCAAACAGGGCAAACAAAATCGTGCTCCTCATACACACATACAGAAATTACCTCAAACTTTTTTGCATTTCTCGAAGTTTCAAGATGTCCAAAAATATAAAATTCTGGGAAGTTATTTTTAGCCGTATCGCCAAACATTTTATTTGTTATATATAACAGCCGGGAAAGTAAAAATGATAGCTGAAAATATAAATAGGAAGAAATAGTTAATAAATGAAGCAAGACAGGAAACTGTTTAACTCAGCACAGCGTGATTGATAATATCAATTAAACCATCAACCTACAGGTAAATATTTTAAATGGCGAGGATATATTTTGTGTTACTCAAGTTTTCATCCTAAAAACAATCATCTTAATTTCATACCAAAGCCAAAATATTGCAAATCAATTCCTAGAATAATTTTTTCTAACTTTTCATTATGTGGACAATAAGAGGGCCTATTTTCAAATCCTTAGTAAGTTCGGCTATGCCCTCAATGGAACAGCCGAGTGGGAGGAACGTGGCCGACAAATAACTTCTCGAAATTTTTTTAATATTAAACTATTCGTTTAGAGAATCAGATTCGATCGATTCCAAATCTCTTCAAAATATTTTTAAGCTTTGAATTATTATTTGTCGTTCGAGAATTCTCAGTTGTACGAAATCTCTCAAATCTTGTATTTTCTTTGTAATCATATTTATACACTGAAATACAGTGGTGCCTCGTATAACGTACGCCTCGAATAACGGACGCTGCGAATAACGGACTTTCTGTTTGACCGTTACGTGACTCGAGCAACGGACTTGCTGAGAACAACGGACTTTCCGTTCGGCAGTTGCGTGAGACGAACAATGGACTTTTTTCGAACAAGTGCGAATGATGTTTCCACTCTTTTGCCGTTGCCAATGACAATCTACTATTTTTAGGATATATTAGTATTATTAGAATGTATTATTAGTATATCTGAAGTAGAAATGTAATATGATATATGTTGATGATTTAAATAAACATTAAATGTAATGTAATATATGTTGACGATTCAAATAAACGAAATGTAATTGTGTAGATGTTGAGGTGGCGGGACGAAAAGAGGTTGTAAAAAACAAACGGAGCGAGAGTAGCTCGTAGAAGTNATAAATCAAATTCAGTAAATCGTTTTGCAGCCCATTTTGGATATTCATTTAACATGAACATTATATTGCCGAAGGTGTTAATGAAGAAGAGTTGCAGAAAATAAGCTATCAGATTCATGCAAATACCTGGAATCACCTTGAAAAATACAAAAATGAAAATAATATTGTTAAATCTATAATTAATTTACCTTAATGATTAGAAACAACGTTGTATTAAACAAAACTATATTAACAAACTATAGAAAATGAAAAATAACTTAATAAATTATATTTGAATAAATTTTATATTATAATTATAAAGTACCATTTGAAATACTTTGAGTTCTCCTGCTTTACGAACAATTTCATTAGCTTGACTAGCTGTAGGTAACGAAAAGCTATATGACGATGCTAATGTAATTGGTATGAAAAATTTAATTGGATTGATTTTCAGAGCTAAAGTCTATCAAAATATAAAATAAAGGAATGTAATCACTTATAAATCAAAGCATAATTTTGATTTGTTTAATTAATTAAAGTGATTACTAATTATATTGAATATATTGATTAGGTAACATACAATAATTATATACAACATAAGAACATAAGAAAGTTCTCTTACTACTTCTGTAATTATTGGTAACATTAACGCTGCTACTGAAATATTATTGAAGAATTCAGTTAGCATAATTGTTAATAAAACAATTATTGCTAACATAAGATTTACAGGAAGGATATGCATTTTTAAAACCCAACTGCCAAAAATTTTATTCAATGCATATATTATAATTGATACGTTTAAAATATTTTAAAAAATTGCCAGGACGAATTTAGATTTAAAAATATATATTTCTTAGTAGACTATACAAACTGGATGAGTCTATTTCATTCGGTCCTTTCACACGCTGTTGAGGTAATAACGATTCCATGGCGAATTCGACCTTTTATTGTAGGCTACTCGTCCGCCATCCAATGCAAAAGAAAGTTAAAATAGTCCTATCAGAAATATATTTTTTGTAAATAATTGGTAAGTTTTAAAAATTACAAATTATTACATTATAGATGTGGTGCGAAATAGTAGAATCATTGAAGAAAACATTTGAATTTGATGCACACAGCCCTGGAAAATACAGGTAAGAAAACATCAACTAAAAAGTAACAAATTATTTGTAATCAACTCTTACTTATATTTTTTTAATCAGGCTTCTTATACCTTTAATGAATTCTCCGGAATTTTCTGAAGTTTTCAACTGTCCCTTAAACAGTTATATGAATCCTGAGCACAAGTGCAGAATGTGGGGATAGAATTATTATTCTCATAAGTGTCATCAACATTAAAAAATTCAATTACTAGACGTTGTTGCGCTAAAATTTGATAAAAGTATTTTTTAAAGAAGTGCAATAAATAAAATATATGAAATCTAACATCTAATGTTTCATATCGTATTTGCCATATTATATAAACTTAAGAGGAAATTTTATTCTTAAAAAGTTTCGTAGTGCAATTGTGCTTCTTTACAATTATTCAATAGTTTTAGAATTGTATTAATTTGTTTAAACTCCCATATTGATAAAACTGAATCCACTTTGACTTTAATTTTTCTTCTCAAGTAATTAAAATAAATTTAATTCAAATGATTTATGTTCTTTTTTAAATTTAAATTAAAAATGTAGACGATTTGCTCACAACAAGACATATTTAAGTAATCTATCAATATTTTATATTTGAAAAGAATGTATGCATAGCATAAATATAATATTCTCAAAATACAAATCAATAACTAGAAAATAATCTTCAAATTATGTATATTTATAAATAGATATATTACAATTTAGTAAACTTAACGATTTCTTTATTTATTATATTATATTTCTTATATAGTTATGAATAAATATATAAGAAATACGATACATAATGAGTCACTGAAAACAAATTGTAAAAGAACAAAATTTTTTGAAGCAGAACTAAACAGCAGTAAATTTATAGTTTTTCTGATAAAATAATTTATTATAATTTTATAAATAAAAGTCGTCATTGCAGTATAATAGAATACAATACGTTATTGGAGATAAAATTATAAAGAAGATTTTCAATTTTTAATAGTTCGTACAATGAGATTAGTCAAGTTGAACAGTGATGTGAAAAAATGTACAGTATTTAAAGTTATAATTATTATTTGTTTTCCCAAAATGGCGGAAATATGTAACGATGATAAATCTGTTGTCTACGAGTTATTTTAATATGATTTCTACAATTATGAAATTGGAGAGAAAAGCATCCGGATAAAAATGGAGTCTGTTTCGAAAAATATATTATGAAACATATTGGTAGAATATTACATTTTTTTAAATGTTTATTATCAGTTCATTAACATTTTTTTCAATTGTAATGGTTTATTTAATTTAATTAACAAAAATAAATATTCATGGAAAATATAAATATAACAGAATTTAAATGATGTTAATAGAATGTATAAGTATCATTAATTTTCAATAAATCAAATTCAGTAAATCGTTTTGCAGCCCATTTTGGATATTCATTTAACATGAACATTATATTGCCGAAGGTGTTAATGAAGAAGAGTTGCAGAAAATAAGCTATCAGATTCATGCAAATACCTGGAATCACCTTGAAAAATACAAAAATGAAAATAATATTGTTAAATCTATAATTAATTNAACAAATGAAAAATGCGAACTAATGTAACGTCGTATGGTGAGTTTTTGTTCGTATCGTGGAGCAAAAATATGTTCAAATTTCATGTCGTATCCTGAAAAATTCGTATGCTGGGGCGTTCGTAACCTGAGGTACCACTGTATTATGGAACATATTGGTAGAATATTACGTTTTTTTAAATGTTTATTATCCGTTCATTAACATTTTTTTTCAATTGAAATGTTTTATTTAATTTAATTAACAAAAATAAATATTCATGGAAAATATAAATATAACAGAATTTAAATAATGTTAATAGAATGTATAAGTATCATTAATTTTCAATAAATCAAATTCAGTAAATCGTTTTGCAGCCCATTTTGGATATTCATTTAACATGAACATTATATTGCCGAAGGTGTTAATGAAGAAGAGTTGCAGAAAATAAGCTATCAGATTCATGCAAATACCTGGAATCACCTTGAAAAATACAAAAATGAAAATAATATTGTTAAATCTATAATTAATTTACCTTAATGATTAGAAACAACGTTGTATTAAACAAAACTATATTAACAAACTATAGAAAATGAAAAATAACTTAATAAATTATATTTGAATAAATTTTATATTATAATTATAAAGTACCATTTGAAATACTTTGAGTTCTCCTGCTTTACGAACAATTTCATTAGCTTGACTAGCTGTAGGTAACGAAAAGCTATATGACGATGCTAATGTAATTGGTATGAAAAATTTAATTGGATTGATTTTCAGAGCTAAAGTCTATCAAAAAATAAAATAAAGGAATGTAATCACTTATAAATCAAAGCATAATTTTGATTTGTTTAATTAATTAAAGTGATTACTAATTATATTGAATATATTGATTAGGTAACATACAATAATTATATACAACATAAGAACATAAGAAAGTTCTCTTACTACTTCTGTAATTATTGGTAACATTAACGCTGCTACTGAAATATTATTGAAGAATTCAGTTAGCATAATTGTTAATAAAACAATTATTGCTAACATAAGATTTACAGGAAGGATATGCATTTTTAAAACCCAACTGCCAAAAATTTTATTCAATCCTGACACCTAAAAATAAATATAAATATATATGAAGATTATAAACAAATCAATATTATGTATTTTATTTTAGTATATTTAGTTTAAAATACTTATACTTATTTATACACTAAGCTACATCCTCTTTACAGAATAATCTAAGGTTTCCAACAACTACTCTTTCTGTTATATAGAAAGTTCGAATGATAAGACAGATAAGTAACTTGTAAATTATTATATCTTCGTGGAGTCTAGCCATCACATGTAAAAATAATATACATAATACATAATCAAATATTGATAGCAAATTACTTTGATAACACAGGTATTTAGATTTATTGCATGCATACATCATTGCATGAAGTAACTAAATTTATATAGAATGTAAAAACATAGATATAAGCATTCAATTATGGTATTTACTCGCGTATAAGACGAGGTTTTTATTCATTTTTCACTGCTTGAAAAACTAGGTCGTCCTATACGCGCGAGCGAATAATTCTTTGCATTTTTGCAATAAGTTTTGTGTACCGTATATAATTCATGCTGTCATTATAGCAAGGTGCTATCGAAGTCAAGGCGAATGTCGCTTTCAGAGATGGTCCGAAAATAGCTGGTCACTTAGCAATGATTATAAATGTAGTTATTTTATGTTAGTTAAATTGGTATTTTTTAATAAATATTTGAATATTCTAAATTATTAAAAATAAACATTTTCCTGTCATGCATTATAATATTTTGGTTTTGCTACGAGGATATAAGGTGAGTAGAAAAGCATTCCTCAACAGCTGACAGTGAATAGTCATTCAGGAAATACTGCATTTCAAATGCCCTCGAGGGATCAGAGGACAATGCTTTCTGCAGTGACAGTAGGAGAATTGTAATACCCCGTTCGCACACAATCCACGACTCACTTCGATCTCGATTTACCCACAATCTGGATTGTGACTGTCGCCAGTGGAACGTCGTGCTGTTCGCACAGGTAACTCGCTTGAGAAGAACCCGGCTATTACACGCGATGATAAAATTGACATAACTACGCGGTAAGTCACGAACACCAACAAACAAAATGGAAGTTTTGGTTAGAAATAAATACTTTTTCTTGCCGTATATCTAATAATAAACAGATGTCATCGTCTCTCCAGATGTCTTTTTTATTTTTCTGTCGATAACCGGACACATGTTCAGCAGCCATCTTGTATTTTCTCGCGCGCGTGGGATTGTGGGATCTCTCTTATAACTGGATCTAGTTTCGAGAACTCTCTCCAGTCGATCGCGATTTAGCCTCGTTTCAGTCGATATTGAAACGGTCGAGAGCGTTCGCACCGCGGAACTCTCTCCGACTTAAGCCACAATCTAGATCGAAGTGCTCGGTGCGAACGGGGTATAACAAAGCTTTGATCCGAGTAGACAAAAGGTGATAGCGTCAAGAAAACAAGCTTAATATGTGCATTTATAATATTTTATGAGTGATTAAACGAAATAAAATTTGAATTGTATTAATAAGTCTAATTTTTTTTTTTTTTTATCTTTAAAGTCACACCTCGTCCTATATGCGAGACCGTATTATACGCGAGTAAATACAAGTATTTTAGTAATCTTACATTACGCCTGATTATTAAAACATTAAGATGATTATTTCTTGCTTTATTATTCCTTTCCACAAGTTTTACTACTTAACATTATTTTCAGTGTATAAAATCCCTTCTACGTCAATCGTACAACCAAGAACAATGTTTTTACATTTCAATTAATTTTTATGGAATAGTCACTCACTTCCTCTACCTTTAAAATAGAATGCACTTAAATATATTAATGAAACTGTTTAAAAATTAGTTAATTAAAATAGTATACATCATTTTTTAGAATGCTTTTTTTTTTCTTATTTGATAAATTTAACCTAAATAACTTAGATGATATTCTAACTTTCAGTTATATACAATTTTTCTTATTTTTCAGTACAAGAAAGTACGACATCAAAAGATATTAAACATAGTAATAAATACAAAACATTTGATAAATCGTATTGATTTGAATATACATTAAGAAGTAATATTTCAAAATGCTTACTTCAAGTCCTTTAGCCAAAGCAAATCCTCCTCCTATTAATATAATGACTTCCCAAGATGTATTTGTTCGGACTAATTTCCAATTTAATATTGCCGGACTCTGTAAGAAATGTTTTGGATCTACTGGAATAATGAAAAATAATATCACAGCAGCAATTATAGGAACTGAATCATTTACAAGTCTGAAATATTTTTATTGTATTTAGTTAATTTATATTATTAAATATTAAATTTTCAAATTTTAAAACATTTACATTTCTTCTTGTTTAAATAATGCCACCCAACCTGGCATATATTTAGGATTTCGGAACCACAGTGTTATTAAAATGAAAAATCCTAATGCAAGTAGGAATTTTTCCTGAAAGCTTCAACATAAAAATGTGAAAAATTGTTTAAAAATTTAATTAATGAATTTAAATCTAAACATAGAAGTATTAAAAGCTTACGTTAAAATTCCTAAGCTAACATATTCCTGATAAACAACTTCTTTTATAATATTATCACGGGTTTCTTCTTTTTGTTTGCTTAATATTATATGAAAATTTTTAATATAAAATAAAATTAGTTACAAAACAACAGCAAAATAGGAAGTTTCATAATTTAATTATATTTCTCATTTAATTGTTTATCATTGTTGCATTTAGGAGTATGACTCTATATTGAAAATAATTACTTTTATATAAATATTTTAAATATGCAATATAGACCAATAGTTCTATAAAAGCACTGTATATAATTCAAACAGTGATTTGCGAAATTCGCTTGTATGAATTATATAAGAAATGGAAATATAAAAATGTATAAATTATAAATATAATATGAAATATTTACTTATATTTCATGACTACGTAAGTCACCAAAGCCCAACCACTTAACATTAGTAAAAACATTCCAGGAATATTATATATAATCCACGAAGCAAAAGTGATCTCTGTCGATCCTGGAAAATATCTGAAAATAAATTTATATTATTTACTAACTACAGGTATGATTGTCATTTTTCAAACATTTTTAAACTGACATAAAGAGTATAATATTAATAATTATACTTTTTAAAATTAAAAAAAAAACAAAATTAATACTTACTCTTTTATATATTCTTTGAATAAAATATTTGATCCAGTGCTTACTAATGTTCCCATACCTCCTATACTTGATGCATAAGTTATGCTCAACATTAATGCTTGTTTTATTCTTTTAAATTGTAAAACGCCTCTAAAAATTATAAACTTTTTATAGTTAAATTTCGTCTCAAAAAAACGTAAAAAAATTATGAAACTATTTGGAAACTAAAATTAATATATGAGATATAAAATTTCACTATTTACGCTTCATTCTGGAAATCATCTTCCTTATTTTCATTTAATGCTGTGTTTAAAAAATAAATAAACTATTATGTTGAAAAATTAATAATGAAAAATAATCTTAATCAGTTAAAAAAATGTTTTTCAAAATATAAAACTTAAAATATTAGGAAAATTTCGAAGATAATTAACAAATTTTTATTACTTACGTTCATTGCTCACTGATTTACTTCTAATGTTATCTAAAATTTCTTCTGCAACAGCTACCATTAGCATTGTTGTTACAGTATTAGATATCCATAACGATAAAAACATAGAGTTTAACATAAATCCGAGTATTAACCTAACCATAATAATTAATTATTATATATATATATATATTTAAAAAGAATATATGAAAATTTTTATAATAAATTAACACTAACCAAGGAGCACCTTTATTCATTAATATCATGAAAGTAAAAGTTGCTCTTTTATGTAAGTTAGAACTTTGAATAGCATTTGATGCTATAAGTCCTCCTAAAAACAAGATGATGGAATCCTAATAAATAAATTTTTAAATAATTGTTTTATCAATTAACAGTTTTAAAATTAAATTTAGTAGATTTTATTTAAAAATAATTTTACATACATTCATATATAATTCACATACAACTTTAGTTTCGATGATATGTAGAAATGGAAACAAGACTAAAGGCATTAATGCCGTAATAACAGGAGGTATAATTTCGAACAGCCAGAATGTATATATTAAAAAGATGATAATTCCTGTTCTCACTTCCTAAATAAAGAATTTTATAACTTGGTTATAAAGCAAATTGAAACTGTATTTCTCTAAGTTTTACAATAATTATAATAAGTTTACAATAAGTTACAATAATTACAATAAGTTTTGCAATAATCAGCTACTTTAATTTGATAATAAATTTAGCGCTTAAATTTTTGTTTTGCTAATAAAATTAGCAATTTTGTTAATCATATTAATAGGATAAGAACTAAAAATAATTATATATTCAACATTAACGATAACCTATTACATTAGAGACTTGAGATATTAAAATTTTTCTTAATTTTCCGATCATTTCAAACGATTGAGGTTTTATTTATTATAGTTTTTGTGGGGAACAAAAGGAGCCGATTTATTTGATCTTGAATCTGTATCAATCCATAGTGAAGCAAGAAAAATAATTCGATTCATATAATGTTTTTGTTTCCTTTAATATTCCTTTTAAAAAATGTCAGAAATTTCAAACAGTTTATAACAATTAAACATACTGTATGTTATAATTATATAATATACTAGCAGACCCCGCCACGCGTTGTTGTGGCTCAAAGTGTATAAATATATAACACTTCCCCCGTGTGGGGGGAAATTTTTCGAAAAATTTCTTTTTAGTGTACATTCTCTTGGCGTGCCCTATTAAAACGGAATCAAAAACACAAAAAACCGCATCTAAAATAGTAGAAATAGAAGCAGAGTTCTTTATGGTAAGCCTTAATCCTGTTCATCTCCCCCCAGTGGGGGGAATTTCGACACGTATATTATATAAAAACACGTGCGTATTCGAATGCAGCGTTGTGTGAAAATTTCAAAGGAATTGGTAGGAACAAACGAACATTACATTTTTATTTATATAGATAGATAGATGATGATCTACTTTAGTCCATCCTCACAGAAAAGCAAACTTAGGGCGTCATACTCGTAGCGCCATCTGTTGGACATAAAAGCCAAACCTAGACAAAAATCCATTGTAGTTTTATTTAATTAATAAAAAATCTGCAGGTTTGATTAGTGGTAAACATTCCGGGGGTCATAAAGATGCTACAGTTAAAATTTGGTAAGGATTGGTTCAGTAGTTTTCACGGTTAGTGGTCACAAACGAAAAATACGTTGTCTCTTTATATAATAGTATAGATAACGATAATTCAATAAATAATCAACCAAAAGCAACATAAAATATGCTTATTGGATGGCTATTTATTGATCCATTCTTATAAGTTCTATAGAGTATAGACTATAGTCCGTTCTCTGTAACTTTGTGCATGAAATGAAGAAGAAAAAAAGGCCACCTCATCTTTGTACGCTACAAAGTTTATCCTTCTGCACTGTTGTAAAAGCAACAGCAGTGTTCTATTAAAAATGTTATGTCAATTATTATAAATTTAGTCTCGAAGAGAAAAGTTGAGGAAATATTCTAACAAAATGATACTGTCGTCTGTCCTTCCCGTAACTATCGCCATTTCTGAACTACTTTCGGAAGGAAGAAGAAAGACGATGTTTACTTTCAGCCAATCACAACTTCCCTTCATATACTGTACCACACATTTTTTTACAAATCAAATTTCTTGTTGCTCGTTATGAAAAACTGACAATTTAATTACTGTGTTTCAACCATTTCAACCATTTGATAGAGGAGTGCTGCAGCTTGTCGCCTTTCACTATTACTGTGTTTTCAAGCTAAATGATTTAATAATATCTGTGATTGAAAGTTTAACAATTGTTAGCAAAGGGTCCTGAATTTTGTGAACTATTTGGGAATTTCTTGGGGAAGCATGCACGAAGTTATAGGAAACGGACAATAGAAATTTGAATTTTTATACATATTCGAACTTTAAAACTAAATTTAAAAAGCCGTTAAAATTTAAACTAAATAAAGATGGAATACCGCCAAGTGTTGAAATAGAAACACACCTTATGATAGTGAATCAAAGAAATTTAAACAACACGGTTTCAGAAGATTTAAAACCGTTAAAATTTTATTTAAATACATTTTTCTGCTACATTTTAAAGATTGTTTATTTGCAAGTAATTCATAAATAATTAATTCTTTATATTATTTTACCGAGTTATTAATAAATTTTAAAATGTAATTTTTTTTCAAATTTATCTAAAATTTTCGAATAATAAATACGTAGAGATTGTAGTTGTTAAGTTTCTTCAAAAATATCGTTATTTAAATTTTAAAAATTTCTTTTGTGTTTAGAAAGACTATTTGTAATCTGATCTCGAAAAAATATTAAAATACTTTTTTAATTACATCAGAAATAAATATATTTTCACAAATTTCACACGTTAATAATTTATTTACAAAATGTTGAATTGTATCGTAATTTAAATTTTGAAAGTTATACGGTGGAACCTTCAATATAGGCCACTGTCTAAAAGTGGCCTGTATTGAAAGTTCCACTGTATTTTTCCAGAAACTGTTTTTTCTTTGGAATGCATACAAAATAACATCAAACAACGGCCATTGATGTTTGTGTCATTGGCTCTTGTTCACATGTTTTAGTGTATATGTTTTAAATAAAAATATTTTTAGAAAATCTTACCTCCGAAAATTTAAAACCTGGGATAATAAATAAAAGCATAAGCATTCCAATATATGGTCTTAATTCTTTCAGTTTTGTAATACATTTCTTAAAGTTACTTATCATTATGAACTCATTAATTATCAAATTTCTACTAATTACTTTTTGACCTACGTTTACGTTTGACAACTACTATCGAATATTCGAATACTTGTATTCAAACGAACATTCGTTCAGTGAAATTTAAAAATTAATTTCAAATTATAATATTCTAATGATATTAATATAAATATTAAAAGTAAAAGTTGCTCTTTTATGTAAGTTAGAACTTTGAATAGCATTTGATGCTATAAGTCCTCCTAAAAACAAGATGATGGAATCCTAATAAATAAATTTTTAAATAATTGTTTTATCAATTAACAGTTTTAAAATTAAATTTAGTAGATTTTATTTAAAAATAATTTTACATACATTCATATATAATTCACATACAACTTTAGTTTCGATGATATGTAGAAATGGAAACAAGACTAAAGGCATTAATGCCGTAATAACAGGAGGTATAATTTCGAACAGCCAGAATGTATATATTAAAAAGATGATAATTCCTGTTCTCACTTCCTAAATAAAGAATTTTATAACTTGGTTATAAAGCAAATTGAAACTGTATTTCTCTAAGTTTTACAATAATTATAATAAGTTTACAATAAGTTACAATAATTACAATAAGTTTTGCAATAATCAGCTACTTTAATTTGATAATAAATTTAGCGCTTAAATTTTTGTTTTGCTAATAAAATTAGCAATTTTGTTAATCATATTAATAGGATAAGAACTAAAAATAATTATATATTCAACATTAACGATAACCTATTACATTAGAGACTTGAGATATTAAAATTTTTCTTAATTTTCCGATCATTTCAAACGATTGAGGTTTTATTTATTATAGTTTTTGTGGGGAACAAAAGGAGCCGATTTATTTGATCTTGAATCTGTATCAATCCATAGTGAAGCAAGAAAAATAATTCGATTCATATAATGTTTTTGTTTCCTTTAATATTCCTTTTAAAAAATGTCAGAAATTTCAAATAGTTTATAACAATTAAACATACTGTATGTTATAATTATATAATATACTAGCAGACCCCGCCACGCGTTGTTGTGGCTCAAAGTGTATAAATATATAACACTTCCCCCGTGTGGGGGGAAATTTTTCGAAAAATTTCTTTTTAGTGTACATTCTCTTGGCGTGCCCTATTAAAACGGAATCAAAAACACAAAAAACCGCATCTAAAATAGTAGAAATAGAAGCAGAGTTCTTTATGGTAAGCCTTAATCCTGTTCATCTCCCCCCAGTGGGGGGAATTTCGACACGTATATTATATAAAAACACGTGCGTATTCGAATGCAGCGTTGTGTGAAAATTTCAAAGGAATTGGTAGGAACAAACGAACATTACATTTTTATTTATATAGATAGATAGATGATGATCTACTTTAGTCCATCCTCACAGAAAANACCAGTGGTTCCCAACCTTTTTTCATTAGTGTACCCCGTGACATGTCATATCTCTAGATTGTACCCCTCATTTAAGAAATTTAGTGAGTACCCGTATTGTTAATTTTACATATTGTAACTTTAAATTAAAGAAAAAAAAAGTAAATGAAAAAATGCAAAATAAATTTGTGATTGTTGCAAGGAACATACTTACCTAATAATTTTTAATACTATTAGTTTGTGATACATAATATATTATTTTTTCGGCCATAATAACTAACTTTTTTCTGTACCCCTAAACAATCTATCACGTACCCCTAGGGGTACGCGTACCACAGGTTGGGAATCGCTGATTTAAACCCATTACATGTAATAATATGAATAATAATATTATTAAGTTCATCACTTGAAAACTAGCCTTTAATTGGGCATGTTTTGTCTTTGTTGACATTACAGTACTTTAACAAATCAATCACAGACTTGTGAAAGTAATAAATTGCTGCGAAAAGCCCTACCTACAACTATCCAAGTAAAATGTAAATAATCTCTATAAATTCGCTTTTTTAATCGTTTTTAGCTCTTATCAGCTAATTTAATGTTCTTAGATAATATTTAGGCGAGTAAACATCATTTTAGAACTGTCAAGCTATAAACTTTCCGGAAAAGTCAACTCCCCGCCGTTACCTAATACGAGAAAATATGCAAATAATCGCATGCAAAATTGTGTATTATAGTCGAATATTGTAAAAATAGTCGAAATAATATAAAAATAATGTATAATGTACATTATTTGGAAGAAAACTTTTGTTTTTATTTTGACCCTCAGATGACTCATCCACTCCCCTCCCAGAGCGCTTAGTCTCGAGTTTTTCGTGTTACAACTCCCAACGTGTTGAAGGTGTCANAAGTTATAGGAAACGGACAATAGAAATTTGAATTTTTATACATATTCGAACTTTAAAACTAAATTTAAAAAGCCGTTAAAATTTAAACTAAATAAAGATGGAATACCGCCAAGTGTTGAAATAGAAACACACCTTATGATAGTGAATCAAAGAAATTTAAACAACACGGTTTCAGAAGATTTAAAACCGTTAAAATTTTATTTAAATACATTTTTCTGCTACATTTTAAAGATTGTTTATTTGCAAGTAATTCATAAATAATTAATTCTTTATATTATTTTACCGAGTTATTAATAAATTTTAAAATGTAATTTTTTTTCAAATTTATCTAAAATTTTCGAATAATAAATACGTAGAGATTGTAGTTGTTAAGTTTCTTCAAAAATATCGTTATTTAAATTTTAAAAATTTCTTTTGTGTTTAGAAAGACTATTTGTAATCTGATCTCGAAAAAATATTAAAATACTTTTTTAATTACATCAGAAATAAATATATTTTCACAAATTTCACACGTTAATAATTTATTTACAAAATGTTGAATTGTATCGTAATTTAAATTTTGAAAGTTATACGGTGGAACCTTCAATATAGGCCACTGTCTAAAAGTGGCCTGTATTGAAAGTTCCACTGTATTTTTCCAGAAACTGTTTTTTCTTTGAAATGCATACAAAATAACATCAAACAACGGCCATTGATGTTTGTGTCATTGGCTCTTGTTCACATGTTTTAGTGTATATGTTTTAAATAAAAATATTTTTAGAAAATCTTACCTCCGAAAATTTAAAACCTGGGATAATAAATAAAAGCATAAGCATTCCAATATATGGTCTTAATTCTTTCAGTTTTGTAATACATTTCTTAAAGTTACTTATCATTATGAACTCATTAATTATCAAATTTCTACTAATTACTTTTTGACCTACGTTTACGTTTGACAACTACTATCGAATATTCGAATACTTGTATTCAAACGAACATTCGTTCAGTGAAATTTAAAAATTAATTTCAAATTATAATATTCTAATGATATTAATATAAATATAATATATTATTAAACTAAATTATTTTAAAATAAATTCAGTTCTATAATAAAACCATATTGAAAATATTATATTATTAAAATTATATTTATATAATATATAAGTAAAATTTGTAATAATGCCCGCGTTCGAGACAGACTCGAGCGTGATACATAGCATTACAAAAGAAATGGGCGTTAAGAGAATTTTTTCTCATAATGCCCATTTCTTTAAAAAAAAGGATTAGTTCTTGTACAGTGTTTTTTACGACCTCAGCAAATTTCATAAGTTTTCTACCTGCGCGAAAGTTTTTTTATAACATTTTATTAATTAACATATTAATTGCTTAACTCTTTCCACCCTACAGGCACTAAGAGGGACTCTTTTAGCAAGCCCATTATGGGTTTGGCCAGACCCACAATGGGGCAACCGGGTGGTGAAGGATGGGGCCGACATATCCGGGCAGATCAATCCCAAAGAATTCCTGGAGCTTTTTTGACCTATCCCGATTCAAACCTAGTCCCCCAGAGCGGTAGGCTGCCACCTTGACCGCTTGGCCATCCAGCTCTGGTTCTGTGCAGTGTGGAATGAAAGAACAATAAACTTTGGAGTTTTATTTTCTAACTAAAAACATTTATTTTAAATTATTTTAATTTTTAAGTAGTTTTTAAGCGGAAATTAAATTTATATTAAATAAAACGGGCGTTAAGGAATTTCAAATATTTCGTAAAGTTAACAGAAGTTTACATTTTGAGGAAGCATAAAAATGTATTTAAAATAATTTAGTAGACTACTGTATTTTAATTATATACAGGGTGATTCAAAAGTCACAGAAATTTAAAAAAATTAATAACTGACAAACTACGAGGTATTTACAGTAAGATGATGCAGTTTTCACAGAAATGCTTAGAAAGAAGTGGGATTTATTTTTTTGTGTAATAAAAATTTAGTACGAAAATAGTTGCATTTCTTGCCATAGATGGCGCTTGATGAAATTACATAAAAGTTGTTACTAGAGCTTACACTAAAAACATTTTTATATTTTTATTCTTATTTTAACAAATTTTCAAATGCTACAGCGCCATACATGGCAAGAAATGTAACTATTTTGATACTAAAATTTTTATTACACAAAAAAAATCTCACTTTTTTTCTAAGCATTTCTGCCAAAACAGTATCATCTTACTGTAAATAATTTGTCAGTTATTAATTTTTTAAAATTTCTGTGACTTTTGAATCATCCTGTATATATTGTTAATGATTTAAACCAGTGGTTCCCAACCTTTTTTCATTAGTGTACCCCGTGACATGTCATATCTCTAGATTGTACCCCTCATTTAAGAAATTTAGTGAGTACCTGTATTGTTAATTTTACATATTGTAACTTTAAATTAAAGAAAAAAAAA